AGTAAAATAATATCATTAATTGTGTATCAGTAACAGGTGGGAGTCGGAGGTGTCACTTAAAACTGACCAACCACAAAAGGCACAAACTTCCAGTTTATAAGATAAATGAGTGCCAAGTATGTAATGTATCGTATAAAGATCTTAGTTGACACTATGTGGTGTATGGTATATTTGAATATTATTAAGAGAGTTAATCCTTAGAGGTCTCATCACGGGGGGAAAACACACTTTTTTTTCTTTATTTTGTGTGCATCCATATCCTGACACTTGTAATCATTTCACAATATATGTAAGTCAAATCATGCTGTACACCTTAACTTTATACAGTGCTGTCAATTATAGCTAAATAAAACTGGGGGAAAAAACTGACCAACCAGATAGAAAAAGTTAAGTAAAGAAAAATAAAGGACCTGATAAATGGTGCAAATATCCATACATACACAGATACAAGAGAGCTAATTATAGAGCTATGTCTTGGCCCAGACAGAGAGACTAGTGGGGAAAAGAGAAATCTTTCTGAGGTTTTGTCGTATGTTTTTCGTTTGGAAGCTTTCCTCTGTCTCCTCCTTTTTGTGCATTCTCCGTGCTTATTTCTGTGTGTGAGGTTGGTCAGTTATGTTTCTTGATCTCCGAGAAGCAGTCTTATGTAGGAGATGTCCTATGGGGCCCAGGAGCAAGCTCCCCTCTGGTCACCAGAGCTGTATGTCTAGGGGTGCCCCCTGGGTGGGCTGTGTGTGCCCTCATGTGGTGGGGGGCCTGCTGTGTGGCTGTGCTGAGAGGCAGGATTGTCCCTGGCCTGCTTGGCTACACTGCCTTGCCTCAGGGGATGGCCGCCCGCCGCTCCCACATGGCTGTCTGCATGGCCAGGGGGACCACCTAGAATTTGCCTAATTTCCTCTGAACTACCCGTTCAGACATTTGCTTCCCCTCCTCTGCCTTGCTCTTCATAAGCCTTAACATCCAGAACCGTCGTGGTGGTGAGGGAAGGAATGCTCCAGCATCGGTCTCTGGGCAAAAAAGCACTCATCACAACTGCTCCAGCCTGAAGCGGGTTTGAGGAGATCGCAAACGAGTTGTCTCCTCAAAGGGAGAGAGCAACCCATTCAGTGAGGCTCCACTAAGGAACTCAGCAGGCCGCTGGAGGATGGGGAGGGGGCGGCGGAGACAACTGAATGAAGTCAGGGGAGCTACCTAACGTGACTTACACCCAGAAGCTCCATCGAGTCACATTTAGGCATCCATTTCCATTTGGTGAAGCCAGTAAGTTTAATAAAGCAGGACATTACAGGGGTGGACAATGGCTCATAAATCACATGCCCCCCGAAAATGTTCTTCTCTAGCATCTTCCCAGGCAGAACACTTGCTAAAAACAGAACCCAAGGGACCATGCAGAATGACAGCCGCAGGCTTCTTTAGCTAAGCCCCGCTCTAACTAGTTCCCCCTGGTTCACAGAGGGCAGAGGGAAGCTGGGCGGAGCAAATCTCTGCTCTGCCCCTTCCTGTGAACTTGTACTGGAGTGTTTGAAACCGAGTGTTTCCTCACTAAAAAGTCCAGAAGGGGCACCTCTTGGCAAGTCCTTCACTCTTTATGGCCTCACCTAGATGGAAGGAAATTAATGTTGCTTGCCTAGAATCCAGGGGAAATATATATAAGGGAACACAAGTTTTAAAAGTGGTTGAGAAAGCAAAACAAAACTTTAATTTGAAATGATATAATGTTTAGCTCAAATTAGAAGACAGTAAAGATTAAAATGAGCTTTGAAAAACCCAATTTAAAAAAAAAGCATAACACTGGAATTAAAACTCCAAAAATAAGGTAAAGAATGATCATCAATCCATCGCACCTCATTCCCATACTTTTAAAGGAGGGTGGGTCCAGGAAGAGATCTTTCGTTTTGCTAAGGGAGGGTGGGTTATGGATGTAGAGGAACCCTGGGGTGAGACATAATAAAGGAGGAGGGAGACAGAAAGAAACGGGAGGAACAAGCTTAGGCAAAAGAGAAAGACTGTTGAAAGGTACACTGAGGTTTTGTTGTGTGATCTACAATTTAGCCCCCTTTTCCGTTTCTACAGGAAAGCTTTACATGAAGTCTACATTATTGATGTTTGATTATGTGTTTGGGTGTTGTGTGTGTGTAGGAGTGAAGCGTGTCTCAGCACAGCGACTGGGTGAGGGCAGAGGCAGCTGAAGGAGGCCCAGTTACGTGGGCATCAGTACAGACGTTCACGTAGCAAGGGGCTGAGTGAGGCTGAGGGGAAGTGGTAGCGCCTGTGGACTTCAGGACCACCTGCCTAACTGTCAGGGAATGTTGGGTGGCTTCTATCAGTGACAAAAACTCGCCAAGCAAAGAGGTGGATGTAACTCTGGCTAAAGCAGCGAGGAGAGTGGCCCAGATGTGTATCAGGGTGCCTCACTCAGGAGGGTGGTTTTGCCTCAGACCTTCACGGGATGGAGTGGGCACGTGGCTTCCTGGAGAATTTGCAGTAGAGGTTGTTCTTCAAGAGAAGTCTCAGATATCTGAACAGGAACTGTTTTTCTCTGTAGTTAGCAAGTGTCAGGAGGACAAAGAGGTTTAACCTTAGCTAATCAATCATGACAAATAGTTCTAATCACAGCTAATTAATAAGGAGGCAAAGAGTGGGAAATTAGAGACCTTGCCAGCAAGTCTGGGCGAAAGACAAGGGTCTGTGTGTGTTGGTCTCGTCAAACAAACATAGTTCGCCTCAGGACAGTCTTAGGGATTAGAGTAATTTCTGAGGAATTTAGGTCAGGATACAAAATACACTTCACCTCCCTTCCCCATCACCCCTCCCATCCTGAGATGTCTTGTGTGGAAGGGGTGGTATTTTTGGAAAAGGTTGGTGTGCCGAGAGTATAGGAGGGGTGCGGAGTCCTGCAGGGTGAGGATGGAAAAACTGGTCGAGCCTGGTTGTGAAGGGCCTCGGGGGCCAATGAGCAACTCACCCCGCACTCACGCGTGCTGCTCCGGCGGAAGGTCAGGGGACACGATCTTGCAGAAGGAGAGCTGCAGCGGTGGCAGGAGGACACAAAGGCAGGAGCAGCGGGCAACCGGCGGCCCCACGCAGCGCGATGAGCGGTGATCAGCCTTAGAGCCGGGCCGGGGCCAGACGTTTCCAGGCGGGACTGACAGAACCTGGTGGCCGCGGGTCCCTGCCGCCCGGGGAATTGGGTCCGTTAGGAGCGCCGTTGTGCTGCGCGGAGCGTGGATTTACAGCCCGGCCAGCCGAGTTCTGTCTCACTCTGGCCCTTACTAGCGCTGTGATTCTGAGCAAGGAATGGACACTTTCAGCGCTCAGTTGTCTTCTGTAAAAATAGGCATAATGCCACTTGCCTCTTTTTTTTTTCAGCAAAGATAGAACAGCACATGTATGTGACTCGAATATAGTGCCTGGCGCAAAATAAGCAATTCATACATTCGAGTGCCCTTCAGCTGGCATTCAAGGCCTCCCGTATTTTGTTTGCCAAGCATCTTTCTAGGCAGAAGGCCCACCCTCCTGCGCCATTCCCCTCCCTCCAAAAATACAGGCCAATGAATGCTCTCTCAGATGTGACCCACTCTTTCTCATCTCTAAGTCTTTGCTCCGGCTGTTTCTTGGAATAGCTTCCCTCTTCCAGTTCTGACTGCCAGTGATGGGGAAGTCAGTTCTCCTGAAAAGCTCTGCTTCAAATAGCGCCTTCTGTAAGAACACATTCTGAGTTAGCCCAGGTGGGAATGACTCTTCGTTCTGTTAAACTCCCAAAGCACTTCATTGGAACCACTCTAAAGGCTCTTCCACCATACAGGTATCCCTGCTTTTGGAAAGTTTTCTTTATGCCACTTTTGCAAGCCACATTTGTTTCCATTTTCACTAACCAAAAGAAATCCAATGAGAGTTTTTGCTTTTACAGAAAAAAAAAAGTGAAGTCTTAATAGTGCTCAGTGTTCGTTTCGCGGTGAGCCATTATAGGGACAGCGCAGCAAGAAGGGGCCCCGCCGCGCTCCTTACCTGGGAACCACACTCAGCATCTCAGAAGCCATAGCTCTGAACCGTGTCTGTGAGCATCTGTGCTTTATCTTGATTAATTTTGTATATCCATTAGCTTTACTCCATCCTGGCTTAAGAAAGTTTTAGTAGGAAAGGTCTACTTTCAGATACCAGGGGAAACATGTACTGTACTTTATCTTGCTATTTTGGATAAATATTTCCTCTCTTCCAGGTAGCATCGAGTTAATTTTTCCATTCACTGTAGGACTTAATTCAATGTTATTGAATTATTATTAATTACAGTGTTATTAGAAGTAGATATTTAATAGCCAGATGCAGATGATGGACTCGGAGAGAGAAGAGGAGAGCAGTCAGTCAAGTGCTAGCCTTCGGGGAGGGAGGAGGGTGTGCCCTTGCTAACCAGGGAATTAGTGGGGAGGTACTGCTGCCAATCCTAATTTTACTGCCATCATGTCTGGTTCCGTCTTCGTAAGTCATAATTCCCCCACGGCATGTAAGTGGGGCGATATTCAGTATATAAGGCCAGTAAGGAGTGTTTCAGACAACTCTATTATTACTAGTTTGCTGAGTTTGGGGCTTGTTTGTATGTGTGACCTGTTTTGTGAGCTCCTGGTTTAATTCAGGTAGGTGGCAAAGATGTTACTTGCTCTAGGGCTTCAGTGTTATTTCTGTAAGAAAAATAGTTTGACAATTGAAATCATGATCCGGGCTAATAGCAGTTTTAAAATCAAATTATCTCATAAAGTGACACACTCTAGCTTCTGAAGTATGCATGGCTTAGTTTTATGAAATTAACCTATGGTCCCTTTAAGCACAGCAAGATGGGAGAAGATGGTGTTGAGCTGAGCAGCAGGGAAAAACCAAGCTGCAATGTTTGTGTAATGGACAACTAGACACAGTAATTTTTTCTTAAACTTTTCTGTAAGGAAAAGTAGTTTTTGAAAAAGAATACCTAACATTCATATTGAAAAATGAAAAACAAACAGCTGCAGTTTGTGTGAAAGATCTTTATTTTCTTTTGAACAATATTAAAACAAATAAATTATCATGCAGTTCAGTAACACAATGAGCACGTGTTAATCCTTTAAAAGGCACATATGGTGCAATCACAGTAAAGTAATAGAGACAGTTCAACAGTTGTTTATCTTGCCACCTTATACAATTATCTGCTTATTTCACATTGTTCTTTTGATGTCCTTCAGTGAACTTTTGCATTTTATAAAAAATTCAAAGTCCTATCATGAAATATACTTCTATTGGTTGGCTTATTTTAATTCTCTTTACTGTTAACATCACCAATGAATCATATTTAAAAGATATTTAAAAATAGTATCTTTTATTCTTGTGCTAAAGTAATCATTCCTTCACAGTGTCGTAAAAAAGTGTTTTAAGCACCCAAATGTAAATTAAGTGGAACTTGGTGATGTAAACCTTCTTCTAGGAATAAAATTGGGGTAAACCAGGGCTTTTTGTGGTTATTGTTTATACTTTTTAAATGGTTTTATTCTGCCATTATTTTTAATTACACAATTTTAAACTGTGTGATTTGGTAAAGAAGACTTTAACGTTTTTATAGAAAACAGGCACGATCTAATTTTTAAAATAAAAGTTATAACATAAACTTCGCTTCCCAATGCTAAATCAAACACGTTCTCTAAAGAACATTCCCAGTCACTCTCAATTTTTCACAGATACGTGTACAGAGAATCCTAACTACCGGCTCACCTGATTAGAATGATTATCTTATGAAGAAAAACGCCCTTTACATGTTCTTTCACAAAGATACTATTGTATGATTAATGTTGAAACCCAACTAAGCTAACAGATGTTTAACAAATTTTGTACGCTGTGTCCTTTCATTTTCATGTTTAAAATAAAACTGAAAAATTATAAAATACCATTAAAATTGTCATCAACTGAAAGCAATATTGACATATCTTTCTCAATAAATGAAATATGTTTTGACACAGCTATAGTACAAACAGCACATTCTAACTACTGGTTAGGTTAAGTAAATATAAATTGTTGAATTTGGCTAGAAATTCCGATAATATAGTAAAACTCAGATTATTTCATGAGTAATCTGAAAAGGTCCAGGTGTAATTAACACTGATTTAAAAAATGTAAACATTTCCTTTCCCTTGTGTAGCTGCGTTATTGTTCAATTAAAAATAAGAGTTCATGCACACGACAACTAAACATTATTCCATCTCTAAATCTCTATGTGGTCAATTATATCAACATGAGTCATTTCACAGAGACCTACAGATGCTACGTACGATAGTTTATCACATGTAGACTCTTCAATCAAAAGTTTATTGTGCAAATATGCTAAAATAGAATTTCCCTGAGATGAACTACCTTTCTGGCCCACAGAAATAACTATGTAGAAATGATTCAGATTTTAATCTGATTTATAATCTAATCTGACACACCCAAAATGAGTGTGAATAGACTTTTTATCATCAGTTGATTGATGCTAATATTTCTGTTCAGTGGACTAGTCATACATTTATAACCAAGCCAGTGTAACCAGAGAACTTGTTCAAAATAAAACTCTTCAGAAACACACGAAGGTGCACACGAGTAGGTACTTGAGAGATAACTTTCTTGCAAGTGCAAAAATCAGGAATCTCTTTTATAAGCTTTCAGGATATACTAACATTTAATTACTTCAAAGGTAAAGAAAATGCATTTAACAAGTAAAGAAGTTTCCCAAATACCCATGCTGCTCAAGTTAGATTTTTTACATTAAAACAGTCAATCAGAAAAGCATTAATTAGTTTTAAAAGTTCTTTTCCTTTCACTCATATAACCAGGTCAGATCTCACTCATGTATCTCCAATTAGGAAGCCATTCACGTTAGGTAACTTCTCCTTTCATGGTCTGTGAAATGCTGCTGAGATAATTTTCAGACTTCATGATAAAATTTGTCCACTCCTGACAAATGTCCTCCATGGAGAATTCCTCACCACCGTACTCCAGTGGAAGAATGTTTGGGAAATGCTGCAGTAAGCTTTGTTTGTAATTGGTCCCGTGCATGTGAATCTGAAACAGCCAAAATGTTTTAGAAGCCATGCCCTCTGCCTCTCGGTGCAGTAGACGTCAATGGAGAATCAACACCATAAAACAGGAAGACACTTTGGTACCTCCTAGGATGCGAGAGCCTGTGCTGATACTGCATCCTTTCTTCCTCCGCTTAGGAAGCTAATGAATTTGCTTGTTTAGACTGTGCTGTTTGTGAATCTGATCATCTTACTGTTTTCTTATATTTGCACCCTTACAACTATTCAAGATTAGTAAAAAAGATACTCTTTTTTTTTCAAAAGTAGATTTTTAAAACTCTAAATAAAGTCATTTTATACATTCAATTCCCTAATGTATAGGTGATTATTAGCAAAATATCTCATATCCTGAGACTGTTCTATAGACGGTAAAAAATGTACTTCCTTTTATTTATATTAAATGAAAGCATTTATCTGATCACACTAGGTATGTGGGAATAATTGTGTGGTACAGTTGATAGATACTCTTGGCTAGTAAAACAGTAAGAGACAATTGTGATGGTTGAGAACTTTAAATTTTCAAATTTTTAAGCTATAAAAATTGACCATATAATGTCCTAAAGTTAAAATAAGGACTTGGAACCTTTGATTGAAAGCACATCTTGTTAAAAATAAATACATAAATTATCTTTGTTCATCTGCTAGGATTCATCCATACATTCAACAACCATTTAATAAGAACCTACTAGGTGCTAGGATATTAAGATTAAAAGATGAGTGAAACAAGTTTCTTGTACTCAGGAACCTCTCAGTCCTAATCTTTGATTTTTTTTCTAAAATATTTAAAATATTATCAGCGAACTGAAAAGAAATCCAACTATCTCCTCAGGAAGGGGAAAATAAGAACAGTCACAGGGTATTGCCAAATTGTTTAAAGAGGGAAGTGGCTGGACTTGGTCCTCCTCCCCTCCCCATTTTGGTAAGTCTGATTCATGTCAATTAACTTTCACTGAAATGCTTCATTTAACTTCTCAGTTTTTAATTTTTCTTCCTTTTTTTTGCTCATATTCTCCTGTTTACAAGATTTGGCTTATTGTTGTATTTGGGGTTTTTTGATCCAGAATATAACCCCAAATAAAAATATTTATTTTTACATCTCTCAGGGTTCAAAAGAAGATGACCAGCTATTATTAAGCTACACTGAAGAGAAAAAACATGAACCAAAAAATTGACTTTTATAAAAATAATAGAATGAAAGAACTCATCCTCATAAGGGTGGTTCTTCTTGAAGACAGACAGAAATGCCTGCTGGAAAATTTCAAAAGAAGCTCTAGGGTCATAATTGTCTGCCCAGATGCAAGATGTTACATTTTCGTAATACGAAGGAATATAGTTCCTAAAATTCCAAATATGCTACATTACAACTCATATTACCTCTACATTTATATAATTTTGATACTTAAATTGTCAAAGCCTTTAAAAACTGTTTTGTGTTCAAGCACTAGATGTTGTCAGTATTTGTCTAAATGAATGCTCTAAGAATTATCCTTTACAGATTAATGTGGAAGAGTGGTTGCCGTTTTGGGGACCTCAGATTCTCTTCTCAACACTGGAAAAATCTCAAGTGATATTAGGTATTTACCTGAGATAAGACTCCACAAGATAGGTAAAAAACATCAACTCTCTTTGCTTTAACTAACATGGCATTAAGTCACATCCCTTGGGTACTGTGGTTTTCAGTTACACATGTCTGATTTAAGTATATTTATTTTTTATTTACATAGATAATACATTCACGTGACTAGAAGTCCAAGCAAGATAAAAGATACACAGTGAGATGTCTTGCTCCTGACTGTATCCTCATCCACCCAATCCATATCTCTATTCTGTTCCACATGGGTAACCACTTTGGTTGTATAGCCTTTTAAGGATAACTTTTATGCAAATATAACTATGGATTCTGATTTCTTCCGCTTTTATACAAAAGGTAGTATATCATAAACACTATTCTGCATGTTATTTCACTTTACAGTGTATCCTGCAAATCTTATTGTGTTCCATTGTGTAGCTGTATCGTAGTTTATTTGAAAAGTTCCCTGATGATGAATTCTTTGTCGTTTCCAATCTTTTGCTACAATGAATCCTCTTGTGTATGTAATTCTGTTTGTGTGCAGGTATAGCTGTAGGATAAAATCCCAGTGATGTGGAGGCTATAATTTTGATAACTATGACCACACTGCCCCCTGTAGGGAATATATCATTTTGCAGTCACACCAGCCACGTATGAGAGGTCCGGTTTTTCCACAGCCCCACTAACTTGATTTTTCGAAATCCAGATTTTAATGTATAAAAGTAGTTGGATTGTTAGATACGTACTCAAAACATTGGGCTAATTCTGGGTATATGTTGGGAGTTGGAGATTATAAAGCAATTTTTAAATAAAAAGGAGCGGAACATTTGGTAGAGATGAATAGTGACTCGAATTATGTTTTACTTACCCGTCCCTTAATTTTTTCAGTCAGGAACGGCTTAATCATAGAAAAGACAGCATGGAAAATGATTGGCTCATTTATCAAGTGGATACCACGAACTTTTAATGGGAAGGAATCCTTTGGAAAATAAAAAAGTCTTATTAACAACAAAGCATAAATCAATATGTAATTCTATAGACAAGCACTTTCTTTGGACACTTGCTGAACTTACAGCAGTCCCTAAAGTGTGACTTTATTTTCAAAATTATTCTATCAACACAGTAACCTGCTTTATAGTTCACTGTCACTAGATTAAGAAAAGGTCTCTAAAAAGGTTTCACCTTGTACCTTAGGCAGAGTATTTTGATACCTGCATCTTTCATAAATAAGACACAGAAAAATGTCTTCCCCAATCACATATAAAGGTGCTTTTTAAAACACCAGTGAGTTTTGTTTTAAACCAATGAGTCATTTGGATATTCATATTTAACCTTCCCCCCACCACTCCCATTTTATTTTGAGGAAAACAAAAATCAAACTTCCATAAAAGTTGAAAGAATAGTACTATAAACACGCACCTTTAAATTTTTGACACGGGTATCAGTCTTTCACATCAACGTAATATAGGCTTTTTTTTTTTTGAAGGTTTAAAAAGTTAAGAATTGAAGGAAAAACCTCATCAATAGTTTCCCTACCCAAAGATGTGTTATTAATATAGAGATATTTCCTGCCAAGTTTCTTTCGTGCAAAACTCTTTTTTGTCGCCCCCCCCACCCACACACAGCTTTTACAGCTATGTTATCAATTTGGAGCTTTTCCTTTCAGGTTCTTTCTAGGAATAATTTTACTTTAAACAGAATTGCTAGTATGCTCTCTAAGTAATTTGCACCCTGTTTTGTTTCATTGATATAATGCAATTTTTGTAAACATTGTGAGTTTTAATATTGTTGCAAAAATCTATCCAATGGATGTACCATCATTTAAGTAACCATTTTCCTATTTCTGGACAAATAAGCTCTTTCTAATTTTCTTCTACAAAAATTGATATAACTATCCTTCTGTACAGAAGGCCATGGGGGTTGTAAGTACAGCCTTTATGTTCAGATGCCCTGGACTGGAATCCTTGCTTCATTGCTGACAATGTGTGTGACTGGAGGCATCGCTATGTCACCTCTCTGACATAGTGAAATAATTTGTAACGTGGGAAAAATGGTAGTCACATGCTATGGGCTGCTTGTAGCCATTAAACAGCAATGCATCTGAAACACTTAGCAAAGTCCCGGCACACAGGAAGCTCCTGTCACTATATACAAAGTCTTTGCTACATTTAAGATTATTCCTTAGCCAGGTGTCCCAAAGCAGGATTATTGTGTCAAAGATGATGGCCATTTTTTTAAGTTTTTTTTCTGAAACAACTGTACCAATTTATACCAACAAAAAATCTATGTGACATTTTGTTGTATCATTGCCATAAATATTATTTTTTGAGTCAGTTTTTAATTTAGGAAGAAAATTTAAATGACAAAAAGATAAAGTTACCACATTACTGTTTAAATGTATAAATTCTGTGGTTCCAAATTTTGAACTTATTTTTAGTTTGTTGCAACATTCTTTCTTTTTGAATTAATAACACTCTACTTCTTCCTCTTAGAATTACTGAATTCTATGTATCATTTCTAAAATTTTATTTGATTTTCTAATATATGTACTATCCCTTCTCTCTGTCCAACATATAACTAAATTTATATCTACTATTTGTAAGTATTATCCCGAACAGTTAAAATACACACACTTACTGTAAGAACAGCAGCAATGTTCTTGGCTACGGATGGGGTAATTTGGAAAGCGTGAGAAAACTGCCAGCCTTCCAAATCAAAGACAGCCTTGATTCCATTCCGCTGTGTGTCCACCTCCTGGACAATAAGCTCAGATGTGATTAGACTCACACGAAACACATCGTAAGCCGTGAAAACTTTTGGGTCCCATTGTGCTTAAAAAGTAAACAAATAAATTAAGTCATATCTCAGCACTGTGTAAAGAATCAGAAAGATTTACAAAAGGAAACAAATTCCATTTAAAGGATCCAGAGAAATAAATCATGTACAAAATCGTGAATTGAATAATAGATCAAACTGGTGGTCCAAGAACAGGTGCCTGCTTCTTCCTCCTTCCTCAGAGCCCTAGCAAAGAGCAGATTTTTAACAGCGTGGGGAAGATGAAAGAATGAATGCAGGCTGGATTTGATTGCCAGATAAAACTACAGCCCAAAATACGCAGGAGGGGCTGCAGCTCTAGGTGGGAATGCCTCTGGCGGGGGCTCTGAGCTCAAAGGTATTGCAAATGCAAAGAGCAAGGCTTGGGATTATGAAGAGTGACCCAGGGCTTATAGTAACCACAGAGGTTGCTAGGGGAAATGGGCGAGGAGCAGACAGGCAGGCTGATCTCTCTGACACCCTTCTGCGACAAGCAGCGTGTGGCAGAGTCAAGTTCACACAAGCTAGAACAGTATGTGTGGGCTTTGGAAAACTGAGACAGGGATGCACCCAGGGAACTGCCCACACCCAGGACAAACAAGGAATACCTTGCTCAGCCAAGGAGTTACTGACATTCTTGTCCTCCTCTCCCCTCCCAGCCCCGCGGCAGGCCATGGCATGCCAAAATGACAATGATGGATAAGCAAGCAGGCCATCTTGAAACAAGATATGTATCCACAGAGAACTGAAATATTTTTAAAAACACAGACACACAACAAAGAGAGGACCCAAACTCAATAGACAAAGGCAGTAAAACTCAAGGAGACAGCTAATAAAGTGACAAACATTAAAAGAAGCAAACTAGTTTCACTGGGGGAACAAAAGCTACTGTAGGCTATTATCATAAGAATAGGCTACTAAGAAAAAGAATCCATTGAGGTCTTGGAAACAGAAAGGTGACAATTTAAGCAAATCTCAGTTGATGGAACTGACGTCAGAAAAGACACAGACAACGAGTGAATAATGGTTTGGAATATCAAGCTGAGGAATTCTCTCAATCTCAGCACAAAAGAGCCAAGAGTCAATACATATGAATAAAAAGTTAAGAGACATGCAGCTAGATCCGGAAGTTTCCAAAGCCAGCTAATTAGAGTTCTAGAGGGCAATAAGACAGAGAACAGGGAACAGAGGAGGCAGGAATAGTAACAGTGGAGAAAAATATTCCAAAGCTGGAAAAAGATGCAAATCTTCAGACTGAACGTTTCGTACGGTGCCTAACAAGATCAACGGGGGAAAAAAAAAAGATTCATGACTAAAGAATGGTAAATTTCTGAAACTACCCAAAGTTTCTGACTTGGACAGCTGGGTAGAATGGTGGTACCATTTACTGAGATTGGAAAGACTGGAAGAGAAGGGTTTGGGGAAGGAAAGATCAAAAGCAGTTTTGAAGATGTGAAAATGGTGACTGCAGGATGTCCGGTTGGTGGCAGCTGGAATAGGGCACTGGTTGCATGGAGCCTTGGGGACAAAGGGATACTGTGGTGAGGATACAAATATGGAAGCTATTTGTGCTTACAGATCTATGGCAGGGACTGTCTTAGACTCATGTCTATCCCCGTTATAGTACAGAGAGAAAGTAGCGTAAGAGGAGGAGGCGGAGGCCAACATCCTAGTGAATTTCAGAATTTAAAGGGGGGATAGAACAGGCAGTGCCAGCAAAGGAGACTAAGACGAAACAGACAGTTAAGCTGGAGGGAAACAGCAGGAGAACGTGGCATCAGAGAAGGGAAGAGGATATCCCAAAAAAGAGGAGGAGGTTTGCTGTATTGATCGGTCAAGTGAAATAGCACTAAACATATCCCTTGGATTTGGTGAAAAGAAAGTCACTGATGATTCGTTCAGGTCATTTCAGCAGAGAGGTGGGAGTGAAACCACATCAGGGGGCATTGAGAGGAACTGTGAGAGAGCGTGGATGGAGACCATCACTAATTTAAAAAGTTTGGCTGAGAAAGAGAGGTGTAGGGAGGTGGCTGGGATGGAGGCTGGAAGGTCTTAATGTGATTGAGGAGGAGGATTTTTTTCATTTTGGATGGCTGATCCTTAAGAGATTTAAATGTTAATGGTAGTGTCTAACAGCAAGGAAAAATTTGAAGATAGAGAAAGATAAGGAATAATCAGGAATATTCCTACGAAAGCACCGTAGTAGAATAGCGCTTTGTTTTTAAAAGCCTCTGATTTCTGGTAAGAATCTGAATAATCAATCCACGGTTAATCCAGCTCAGATACACTTCACTCAGCTTCCTGTAACACCCGCGGGGCAAGGAAAGGGTGGAAAAGACGCTGTGATGTCTGGTTCATAGACAGGATTAACCCAGTGGTATATGACCCAGAAGCTGAAGCAAAGAAACAAACAAACAAACAAAAGACTCATTTGCCTGTCTTCTGCTGCCCATTCAAGAATTAAATGCAGTGTCTTCTTGCAAGATTAGCAAACTGCTGAGTTCTAGGCAGGCATCTTACCTACGAGCAGGCAGAAGAAGCAAATCTATAAATCTCTTTAAGTTCCCCAGAATATTTACAGATGTAAAAGCTTCTATGAGATTAATAATAAATTCATAAGATTCTGCTCAGGAAATGTTGGCTATCTTTGTCATTTCCACTGGGCCATGACAGGATGCTGGGGCCGTGTGGGCCCTTGGTTACCCGCCGTCCTTAATGACACACCGGTCTAAGGGGGGGGCAGAAGTCAGAGGCCCCCAGCCTCCAGGAAACACTAGGCAGACCTAACGGCGAGAAGGGGAAGCAGTGAAAACAAAGAGGGGCACAGGGAACGCGGATTCCTCAGCATTTCCCCGGGTGCCGCTCTCCACCGAGTCTTCCATCGTCCTGAGAAAGGAACTCTTGCTCCTCAGCCTGGGGCTGTACCGCACCCCTGCTCACTCACTCGCTCTAAAAATACTTCATAAATATCCACCATGTGCCAGGCCCTGGTTTCGGTGCTTGGGAAGCATCAGTGGGCTGATGAAATCCACGCTCTCCTAGAGCTTGTATTATGGCAGCTCAGAAATCGTATTTGGACTTGTTTTACGCTGGATGGCGGATAAGTTTGATTTACTTTATGTTTCATCCTGTTCACCTTCCGCCCCCTATTTCTCCCTTCCATTTTCTTTTCCTCTCAGGTGATGTGGTTGGCTGTGTGGGAGGACGGAAGCAGGGTTTTCATTGGTTTGGGATAATTTTCTCACAACTGCCAGTTTTGTTCTATTTGGAGGACATTAAACAAACTGCACGAACCTAAGTTAAAACCTAAAAAGCGAAATTCTTATGCATGAACTCATGGAGGCTTTCAACACGGCAGTCAAGAAAAAGAAAACAGCAGAGGCGCTGCGTGCGACGTACCAATTCTGTAAATGAGGACTCTGCTGCCCGCGGGGTCCCTGGCTCTCAGGAGGCCGAGGTAGCCGGCCTTCAGCAGGCCAAGGACACTTCTAGGATGGAGATCTGCACTTATTTCTGGACACTCTGCTCTCCACTTACAGTAGTTTTTTAGTAACTGAAAAATAAAATAGAAAAATAAAATAGAAATAAAAAGTCTGCAGATAGCATACCTGGTAAGCATTTTGTAAAAATGAAAGCCTTGGCATGACAGAGGGCCTCTGCCGTCTCTTCAGCCATGGTTTTAGTCTGGGGTTATCGTTAGTGAAAATGAAAAGTGTCCTCTTCAAGGCTCTCAGGTGATAGGAGTTAGCCACAGATTCCAAGATGAGCAATTCTTACTTGTCTCCTGTGGCAGCTAGACTCCCAAAGACAGCTGTCAACAGTGCCTCCCCTCCTGGTGTACACATGTCATTCCCTCCCCCAAGGGGTAGAATCCGTTTGACTCCTTCTTCTCGCAGCTGAGCTGGCCTCCTGTCTTGCTTTGACAGGAGTGACACTGTGCTAGGTTAAGAAGCCTGGGGTCTTTGCTTTTTGCTTTCTGTGATCCAGATCATGCAAGATGATACTAAACAATGAATCTATGCAGAGCAAGGCCCTGGATGATGAGAGGCCATCTCAGCCAGTCTGACATCAGCCACATTCCCATCTCATGCAATGTGGACCAGACATAAACCATCCCCACTGATCACTGCCCAAAGTGAAGAGTCACAAATTAATAGCTATGGTTTAAGCACCTTGATTTGAGGGCCTTTTGTTACTCAGCCATTGATAACTGAAACATCCACCTTTAGTCTTTCTTGAAACAAGGAAGACAGAAATCAATTGAATTAACTCTACAAATGTTTTTGAGCATCTATAATGTTCCACACACTGTGTTAGGCGCTTGAGCTACAGCCGTGGACAGAATAAGTCCCTGCTCTCCTGGGATCTGACCTGTGGGTGACCAACTGGGCCATACAGACAAGTGTGATGTAATGAAATTCCCAGGCTGCTGCTTCAGAACCTCGGCTCCACCCCTTATTATCTGTGTGATCTTGGGCACGTATTTAATTCCTCTGAGTCCTGTTCCTCAGTGTCTGCCTTGCAGGGTTATGAGTAAAGCATACGTGGGCATAATTAAAAAAGAAGAAAAGGAAAGAAGAAAAGAAAAAAAAAACCTGTTTTCTTTTTTTCCCCAAACGAGCCACCAAAAATGGTTCCATTATATTTACAAATAATACAGACATTGTCAGTGTATTGTGGAGAATACTGACATCAAGTTATGCATTTAAACTTTATTATATTTCCATTTTCCTTGTCATGATTTTTGGCATTCTCAATTTTTTTCTATAAGGTGAATTTCTCCTCCTCCTCCTGTTTTAGGAGGCATCAGAATAAGTGTTAACAGCATTTTTAATGCTCATTCCTTTTTGATAGTTCCAGCACATGCACAAATAGTCATTTTAATTCTGATTCAAGGAAAACACTAGAAGCAGCATGTGAGCTCCAATACAGAAACAGTGGCTTTCTTTCCCCATGGAATAATCAAAGTTGTAGCTTCAGTAAAAGGGGTCTTTCAGGTAATAGAGGCAGGTTCCTCAGCTTACTGATCTCTGCAGGGCGCTGGCACTCAGGAAGTAGGCACATGTTGCGGGAAAGAATAAAGTAATATATCATTAAACCAGCTAGAGTCACACAGTTGAAAAAATGACTTTTGTAAAGATGCACAAATCACCCTCATACTTTGGACACTTAACTTTTGCAAACTGAAAGCTCTAAATTCGGATGTTTTGATTACTACTCTTCCACATGATTCCAGGTACATGATTCCAGATACATGATTCCAGGTGACTTGAATACATGACGTAAATGACGTAAAAGCCGCTACTTAGTGATTCTCAAACAAAACCCTGCAAGTTCATAGCAGCAACAACAAAAAATCTGCCTGCAAATGAATACTCATTACTGAAAAGCACCTGTTTTGTACCACAATTAGGAATAAATAAATAGAAAAAGTTATGGCTTATTTTAACTATGCTTTGCAATAGAGTATGTTTCTTCTTACACGTTTCATATACTTTCAAACAGAATTACAACCATTTTGTGACAGTTTTTTTTTCCCAGGCTTCATTCACTTTATTTTTTGCATACAAAACTATGTGGTGGCCACAGCTGGAGCCTGGGTCCTCTGCACAGAAACACTGGTGTGGGACTTGACGAGACGATCAGTGAATTCCTGACAGGGAGACTTGGTGAACACAGGCTCTTTCCAAAGATGAGGGGTGAGATAGCTGTAGGTCTTGGAGATGGCATGGAAGGTGGCCTTGGCGAAGTGGCCCAGCATGGCAGCGCAGCCCCTGGCAGAAGTGTGACAGTCATCAATTCCAGCCATCAGCAGCAGCTTCTTGGGCACCGGGGCTGAAACAATGCCAGTGCCCCTGGGTGCAGGGATGAGGCGCACCAGCACAGAACCACAGCGGCCAGTCACCTTGCAAGGAACGGTGTGGGGCTCGCCCATCTTGTTCCCCCAACAGCCTCACCATACAGGGACAATGGAGAGCTTGGCCAGGGTGATGGCCCCCTGAATGGCTGTGGCTACCTCCTTAGAGCACTTAACACCCAAACCGACAAGTCCATTGTAATCCCCAGTGGTGACAAATGCCTTGAACCTGGTCCGCTGACCAGCACGGGCCTGCTTTTGATCTTCATGTCCTTCACCAACCGGCCCAGCTTGGTGACCAGGAGCCATTCCTTGTCCTTTGCCTTGCCTCTGCGTGCTCAGTGGCCGCGGCCTCAGCCTGGCCCCGACTGCGACCCCGGCCCCGGACGCCGCTGCCGAAGCCTCCACGGAAGCCACTGAGGCCTCCCATCCCAGGGCCTCCGGGGCCTCCCGCAGCACCGGCGTCACCCTCCATTTGGCGTCCTCTCGGAAAAGAAGTGTGCCAGTTTTATAGGGTTTAAAGGCAGAATTTCAATTCCCCCTCACAACCATTCTGAGAGGTTACCCATTTTATTGGTAAGAAAACTAAACCTCAAAGATATTACCATCAGGAGCAGAGCAGAGACTGAAACTGACACGCTGGTATGGTAAGTTTTACAAAAGAAGCTGCATTTAGTGGGAAATGAGCAGGGAGAGTCAATGGAATTTTGAAAACTTTTAAGTCTTTGGGAAAACCATAAAAATTAATGAATTTAAAATGTATTACGTGGAGCAAAAAATATAAGGAACTGGAATATTCACTTATAAAAGATAGGAATTCTCAAGAATGTATAGAACAGACAGAGGATAACAGCTGGTTGTTTTATGTTCAGTGTTTTTAAACAGAAGGGGAAGGCGTACTTGAGAGCACAGGCTCCCCTGAATTCAACCCAAGTTCAAACCTTTGCTCTACCACTTAATAACTGTGACTTCGAGCAAGTGACTTACTCTTTACATCTCAGTTTCTTCTAAAGTGAGAAAATACTGAGATAATCCACATGAACACGACTTACCAAAGGACCTGGCACCCCAGAAACTAGTAGAATTCTAAAAAGTCGCTAATTTGTTATAACTTCAAATACAAAAACTAGAATAATGAGAAATTTCATTATAACTGAGGGCCTTACTAAGTTTCCTTCATGCACTAAGATCATAGGTCTTTTACACGCTAAACAAGGGAGTTAGAGTTGAATTAACTGCTTTTGTGGAGGAAAATGAAAAAATAGCTTCATCCTCTAACCCTCTTTCTCCTTCCCAGTTGGCAGAAAAATAGGGCAAAGAGTTCACAGTCGGAAACTTGATTCATGTCCAGTGTATTCAGACAGCATCCTGCTAGCCAATTCTTCAAGGACATGATGCAATGAAAGCAATTCAGGAAGATAAATAACACAGAAAAAATGTATAACTGAGACACTGGAGGTAAATTTTATTCCATTTTCGACTTAGATATTACTTTTAAAAAGCAACTAAGTGAAACCTGTAATTAAACACTTCTAATTGTTAGTTACTCCTACACATATATATGTTTAACACCACATTTAAACTGCACTCTTCATAGGACCTAAGACTGTGTCTTCATAGTTAGTAGCTGCTGAGTAAATATCAGGATCCCTGGGTAGCCATCTGATAGAACAAAAATAAATAGGTTCCTATTTCATTCTTAAAAGTCAAAATAAAGTCCAGTAGGTCAACAACTCCAACATAAAAAACAGAAGTCGTATATTACTAGAGAAAATTTTGCAAAACATGAGAGCTTATGAAACCCAGAAGCAATCAGAGAACAATCTAATCAATACATTTAATTACATAAAAACTTTAAAATTCTTCACAGAGCAAAAATGAACAAATGGGGCCTAATTAAACTTATAAGCTTTTTCACAGCAAAGGAAATTATAAGCAAAACAAAACAACAATGTACGGAATGGGAGAAAATATTTGCAAATGATGTGACTGACAAGGGATTAATCCCCAGAACATACAAACAGCTCATACAGCTCAATAACAGAAAACCAAAGAACCCAATTAAAATGCTTCACAGAAAGAAAATAGCATTAACGTGTCAAGAGACAAACAATGAACTAGGACAACAGCCTATTTTCTTTAACATTTAAGGATGTTTTATGAATAAATTAATAATTTTTTAATATTTTATGTAAATAAAGTGGAAGAAAATAAATAAATAGCCAAGACAAGCAGTTAACTAGAAAGGAATTTTAAAATGTTAAATATATGAAAGATGATTAACCTCACTTGAAATTAAATAAATGCATATGATAATAATAATAATGAGAACCAGTTCCTCACCTAGCAGGTTGACACACAGATCACAAACATGGGATGAAACAGTGTGGGTGATAATGTGGGAAGAAGGTACCATTATGTAATATAGAAGCAATAAAATAAGTGCAGACACTCTGGAGGACAGTTGATATATTCACCAACACTGAAGACCCACATCTCACTTCATCCAGCAGTTACACAAGTCGAACTTCTCCTATAAGGATTTTCCTATTTTTGCACAATGACAGACATACAGAGACATACTAAAACACCCAGCTGGTGATGGAAGAGCCCCCATTTGTCATGTTTATTGTATTTTGTGAACTGCCAAGCAAGCTGTAGGAATTAAAAATATAGTCATTGAATGAAAGAACGAACAGCACGCATGGCACCATTGCGATTAATACATTTAATACATGTATTAGTGTTACAATATGTTGTAATATATGTTAATACATTTTAATATATGAAATTGGTGCAGTGGAATAGCACACACCCC